GGACTGTCCTCACCGTTTATCGGGGATCCGGAAGTCCCGGTAAAGTTGCTCGGCTAATTTGTGCTTCCCATCCAGGATGAGGTTGTAGACGGTGTCGTGCAGGGACAGGTCCACGTAGGGTTTGTCAAAGTCGTCCTGAAAGCGACGCTGGTGACGTAACAGCTTGATTTGGTCTTCGGTGGCCTGGTGAGGGGGGGGGGAGGGAAAAAGGACATTTATTTTTTTTCGGAGAAGGCGGCTTGGTCTAGTGGTTAAAGCACCAGGGTAGAAATCAAGAGACGGTGAGTTCGAGTCTTGCCTTAGGCATGAAAATCGGCTGGGTGATTTTGAGCCCATCACCGGGAGATGGTGAGTTCTAGTTCCGCCTTTGGCATGAAATCCAACTGGGTGACTTTGGGCCAATCACCGGGAGACAGTGAGTTCTAGTCCCGCCTTTGGCATGAAAGCCAATTGGGTGACTTTGAGCCAATCACCGGGAAACGGTGAGTTCTAGTCCCGCCTTTGGCATGAAAACCAATTGGGTGACTTTGAGCCCATCACTGGGAGGCGGTGAGTTCTAGTCCTGCCTTAGACAGGAAATCCAGCTGGGTGATTTTGGGCCAATCACCGGGAGGCGGTGAGTTCTAGTCCCACTTTTGGCATGAAAGACAGCTGGATGACTTTGGGTCAGTCCCTCTCTTTCAGCCCAACCCACCTCACAGGGTTGTTGTTGCAAGGAAAATGGGAGGAGGGAGGCATGTTGGATATGTTCACTCCCTTGAGTTACAAATAATAAAGGCGGAAGACCAATAAATACATAAATAAAATATTGGCCATGATTCAGTTAACTTGCTTCCCGGCGTAAAGTCCGGTCCCACTTTGTGCTGTACTCTGGATCCAAATCTCCTTGGCCAACGGCGCCTTGTGCCCTCACCTTGGCTGCAAACTCATTCTTGGCTTTGTAGTACTCGTCGACCGCGTTCTGCAGACTGGCCACACGGCCCTCAATCCACTGCGGAAGCAAAACGGGGGTTAATCCAGCTTGCAAGAACTGCCTGCAGCTGAAAACACTTAAATAAAAAATCAGACGCAGAGGTCTTGAAACTTGCAACTTTAAGACTTGAAACGCGAAACTCAAGCTTCTCCCAGCGTCTAGCTGAGAGCAAGACTGCTCTATCATAATAAAAGCTGATTACACTAAAAATCCGACTTTGGGTATAGTCATGATGTGCAACCAGGTGTGAAAAATATATTTTTTTGCCTGGTTCTCCGAGGGGCAACCCCTCCGGATCGGAATCTGCCAGCCCTAATTCGATGCCCCCCACCACCACCACGTTGCAACAGCACCCACCTTTTCGCTGATGTAGCTACTACGGACGTGGAAGTTGCCCAGCTCCTGGTGATTGTCGTCTTGGTTGTAAAGATCTTTGAGTGTGTTTGGCTCTTTGTGTTTGCAGAACTGAGGATGGACAAGAGTCGTACATGAAAAAGGTGGGGTATAAATCGATTCATCGTCCTATTTGTTTTTTTCTATTTAGGAACATTTTAATTTATTTACAGTATTTATTTATTAAATGTATACGCTCCCCATCTCACCCTGGAGTAAGTCTAGGAGGGTTACAAGAAGTTATTTGGCGGCTTTTACCTCAGATTTATTTTATTTCCTTATTCAAGGGACCAAAATGGGACACGTTGCTTGATTAAAAGCCTAGGCC